CTGTCTACACCTGCTCGACTGAGGGGCAGGGGGTTATGCCAGAAAACTCTCTGGACTGGGAGTGAGGACATCTGGATTCTGGTCTCTGCTTTACCAGTAACTGTCCATGTGACCTTAGATAAGTCACAGTACTTAATTTTCTGATGAGAGAGAGAGGGAGCAAGAGTGAGCACAAGCAACGTGGACTCTACATGATCAGTGTTTTCCTTTCAGGGGTGTCATGGACAGAGGCCAGGTTTTAGGGCAATCATGTCTCTAATTTGGGGCACAAAACTATCACCCACTTGGCCAAGTTGGAACAGTCAGAAGCTGAAGATGGGCAGTGGCTGGCAGAAAAGGCAGTGGGAGGGGGGCTTGAAGAGAGCGAAGGGACATGGAACTTTAGGGAGGTAATTCTATGCCATGCTCCAGAGTTGTAAAACCACTTCTATTTTTTTTTTTTTTTTTCTTGCGTTATGCGGGCCTCTCACTGTCGTGGCCTCTCCCATTTGCGGAGCACAGGCTCCAGACGCGCAGGCCCAGCGGCCACGGCTCACGGGCCCAGCCGCTCCGCGGCACGTGGGATCCCCCCGAAACGGGGCACGAACCCGCGTCTCCTGCATCGGCAGGCGGACTCTCAAGCACTGCGCCACCAGGGAAGCCCAAAACCACTTCTAAATCAAGGCCCCTTCACTTCCTGGCCCATGGTGGAGGGTGAGCTCCAAGCTTTCATTTATTAATTGAGTAGAAAAACCCCTAATACCAGAAGAAAGATAAAGGACTTGGAAGGCCAATTCGCAGAATACAAAAAGCAAGAAACATAAAGCAGAGGGGAGGTGTGGAAAATGTTTAACCTCATTATTAACGGAAGAAACAGAAATTAAGAAATGAAGGCGTCAAGATACCAGTTTACAGCTAGCTACTAAATTACCAAATGTTTAAATGAGGTGTGTTGAAGGAGGCTCCCTGATACAAAGCTGGTAGGACAAACTGGGACAGCCTTTCTGTAAAGCAATTTGGCCGTATTTATCAAGAGCCTTTAAAAGAGCGCTCCCTTTGACTCAGTAATTCCACCTCTAGGAATCTATCCTAAGGAAATAAGATATGCCCATGTATCAGGAAGTTCATCACAGCAATATTCATAATAATGAAAAATTGGAGACACCTAAATGTCTGACAATAGGGAACAGGTTATGCACGTATCATGGAGTCATTACGAAGTATTTTCAAATAATTTCTAATGATATGGAAAATGCTAAGTAAAAAAAGCAAGATTACAAAACTATATTTATAGTTGAATTCCAGTTATGTTCAAAAATATATATGTACAGAAAAAAGACCAGAAAGAAATACACCAAAACATTAACAGTGATTATTATATTTGGTGATGTGTTCATGAGTGATTTTTCAATCTTCTTACTTTCCTGTATTTTCAAAATTTTCAACATGTGCTACTTTTAAATTTGATGAACATGTGTTACTTTTAAAATTTAAAAAGCACATTAAAGGTATAAGGGGATGGGGCGGTGTTTGTTGATTTTCTAAATTTTCCAGCTATTTAGAGGTAGAAAGGGACCTTTGAGATAATCTAGTCCAACAGTTCTCAACCCTATCAGCCCCAACCCTCCGTTGGTATATACAATATTTTGCAGTGTACCCTTTGTCACCCTGAAATGAATCTCATAGTTAATATAAACTGCTTATACACATAATTTCCAGAATAGCAATATAATACACTAACTATAGTATAAAGGATAAATAAAAGGAAAGTCATTTATAATCAGATAATAGATATTTCAGTACACAAATGCCTGCACAAGACTATACTAAAAGATTAACAGTCAGATGCTTCCACTTATATATGTAGATTCACTGCGAATGCAGCTGCTACACAGGAAGACTAAGTATTGGCAACTTAAAAATCCATGAATGGCATTGCTACTGGCGACATGATTTTCAAAAATCACAACTCTTGGTAAACTTCTGAATAAAATAAAGTACCATCTTCACTCAATTTACACAATTGTTGCATTACTGGAAATTCAGTGTATGATATTAAAACTATAAAAATATGTTAGTTCCCATTCCCCTTTCATATTTATCCAAAACATGAAATCCACAATGACTCCCTTTTTTGTGAGTTGGGCTTGCATCCTTTAAAACTAATGATATTTGCAGTTCTAGCCTTTGATACTGTTTCTAAAACGCACCGCTAAAGAACGGCAAGCAATTCCTAGAATGTCTTCTCAAAACTGACACAAATGCTCTTTGAATTATTGGAAGTACTGGTCTTCTTTAGTATCACCAAGGCACAAGAGCAAATTATCATTAAAAAAAAAAAATTACTGTGATCCCTTGGTGATTTTCGCTAGCCTGGCCCCAAGCCTCAAGGGGTACAAAATGAACTGAGCTAGAAGAAAAGGACTAACAGGGCTAGGCTACGGGGAGAGGGAGGAGGGCTAGGTTGCTAGGTTACCACGTGAGCCAATCCAAGTGGTCTCAGAGGGGTACCAGACACACAGTTCAGGTCCCTCTCTCTGCCCCACTAGGCTGAAGGCCCTCTCAAAAGAAGGGGGTCAAAAGGTGGGGGAGGGGTCCGGTCACGCACGCTAGGCACAAGAAATGAGGCAGAAGCACAAAGAAACAGACATCCCTGTATTTCTAAAACCATTCAAGTCTCCTTCATTAATTGGCTTCCCCCCGAAAAGAAGGATTTCTTTATTACGAAACACCAGAGTGAAAAACCCAGCACACATACACATTTGTAGGCTCACACAAAAGTGCAGAGATTTACATATTAAATTGCATTTAAGTTAGAAAATAGATTTAAAAACAAAATACTTCTTTTTCCCCCAACAAGGTAAAGAGATTTGGTCAGTAGGAAAAGGGGCCTTAAGGGTAAACGCAGGAAGGGCAGGGCAGGAAGAATGGAGTTTAGAATTAGAACCCACTGCTGCCACTGGTGAAAAAAGTGAAGGGGGAGATGGTGTTCTCCACTGCGGCAAGCAGGGCCCCAGAGCCAAAGGGACATGAAAGAAAAAAAAGAGGCCTCAAAGAGCCAAATTCCACCAACCCCCAGAGGTTTTGGATCCGTGCCAACCATCCTGGTCTGGGGAAGTGGGGTGCATAGGAAACTTAAGGAATGGGGAGGAATGGGGAGGAAGGGGAGAGGTGGAAAGAATGTCAGCCATTGAAAAGAGCAAACAATTTAAAGCCTATTCCCCTGGGAGGGACCAATTCTTCAATCTCCCCTCTGATCAGAACTCAGACTAGGAACAGTCCCAGCCGGTGCATGGTATGAACGGGACAGATGTTCAGGCCAAGGTCTTAAATGCAGAAGATTTATATAGGAAAAGAACAAGGGTAGGGAGTAGGGAAAAGCAGAAGCTTTTAAAAAAATGACCATTTCACACTAATGATAAGGGGTTTCCATTCTGACCCTTCACCTCAGGAAAAGAAAGCTTCTCTAAACTCACACAAGGGTCAACAGAAGAGTGGCTGAGGTAAGCTGAGGGAGGAGAGGGGAGATGGGCTAAGACAGGATGGGTTGAGAACCGACTAAAAATGGGTTCATCTGAGTGGCAGGTTAACTGGAAAAACCTAATATCTTCCCAACTCTCCAGGCTTGGCCTTATTTTGAACTGACTAAAATCTAACTACAAGGACAAAACTGAGAGAGCCAGAAAAAGAATGAGAAAGTAGATGCAGATAGGACCGGAATCTGAGTCAGTCAGAGTCCCAGACTGTCTCTCTGTCTCTCTAAGGATTGCTAAACTCAAATCCTGCTACAAGAAAATAGGAAGACGTAGAGAAAAAGCTAGGAGCGGCCGAATTTCATTACTTCTGATTAACTGGGAAGAGCGAGACAAGAACTGGTAAGGAATCTTGATTACAGACCATTTAAAAAGAAATATATACCATCACTTGTAAAAGATCACTAACAAAATATTTCCAAGGGGAGGCCCTGAGGAGCCTGCTTTAATAACCAAGACTCATTTGCAATTAACAGCATCCATCTGCATAAAAACGATATCCTTTAAAGAACTTGTTCTCTTAATTTAATATAACCCCTGACCCTCCCAATCTTTCTAACACTGTTCATGGCCTTGAAAGGCCTCTTTTCATAGTCAAGAATAAGGTAAACTTCAACCCAGAACGTAGTATAGGTCAATGGAGAGTTTGGGAGCTACCTCTCCAACCCAAGGGCCCCCTGGAAAACGGAAGTATGTGTAGTAACAAGCACCCCCTTCAACCCCCACCCCCACCCCACCCCCCAAAGATATTCACACCTCCATGGTGGTTCTTGAAATGGAAGGGGGAAGGAGGAGGCAGGCAGTTTGCATTAGACACAGTTTAATTGCCTTCAAATAGATTAAAAGTTCTGGTTTACACTCCCCCCCTCCCCGGAAGTCATCCAGACAGGACCCTGGCTTAGAAAAACACAGGTGCTCTAGGAAATATAGCCACATATAATACATAAATCTTCTTCCCTGAAATAGAGCAGGTCCTGAGTAGAGCTGACTGGGGGCCACAGCCCACCCCCAGGGTCAAGCGGCTCTGGGACTCTGCCGGTGGAAGTGCTGGAAGAGCG